CTCTTTGAGTAATTTTATTTACGCCATAAATTCAGCTACCATTTATATCCTAGAATTCTTCTATCTATATTTAATAGTCCAGAATACTTTTTCATGCAAGACCAATCTACTTAATTACCTTCTGAATATTCCACTTGGTTTCTCTCTCTCTTCCTTCTCACCAACTAGGCGATGAGTTGTATCAATTTTACTTGACTCTTTTATACATTTAATTTCATTAAATTTACTGCTACTACCAAGTCATTTAAAGAAACAAATGTAATTAAATACTCCCATGTTTTAAATCATTTAATAAAGTTTGGTTTAAATGCAGATTCCTTAACATGACACACAAAGTACTTCAGGATTTAAAGGCATCTATCTCTAGAGCCTCCCCCACTCCCCCAAGTGTTTTCAGAGGCACATTTATTCTGAGGAAAATTTTGCAACATGGAGTGTGGAAAATAGGAGGGAGCACAGGGTTTATCAACTTCAAATACATTTGAGAAACTAATGCTCTAGTATTAGCTCTCAGAGCAGTTGTTCTCAATCTAGGCCCTGAATCAGCAGCAACAGAATTACTTGAGACTTCGTTATATATGCATATTCTCAAGCCTCACCTTAGACCTACTGCATCAGGAACTCTGTGGGAAGGGCTTAGCAATCTGTATTTTAGCAAGCCTTCCCAGCAATGCTGATACCTATGCTCTCCATGACAGGGTGGATCAGTTGGTTGGAATGTCATCTCATACACCAAAAGGTTGTGAGTTTGATTCCCAGTCAGGGCACATACCAAGGTTCTGAGTTTGATACCTGGTCAGGAAACATTTGGGAGGCAACTGATCAATTCTTCAATTCTCTCTCTCTCTCTCTCTCTCTCTCTTGCTCTCTCTCTCTCCTCTCCTCTCCTCTCCTCTCCCTTCCTCTCTCTAAAATCAATGAAAATAGCCCTGCTGCATGGCTCAGTGGTTGAGCGTGGACCTGTGAACCAGGAGGTCATTGTTCGATTCCCAGTCAGGGCACATGCCCCAGTTGCAGTCTCAATCCCTGGTGTGAGGCGTGCAGGAGTCAGCAACCAATGATTCTCTCTCATCATTGATGTTTCTATCTCTTTTTCCTTCTCCCTTCCTCTCTGAAATCAATAAAAATATATTTAAAAAAATAAAATCAATGAAAATATATCTTAGGGGGAGGATTAAAAAATTACATATGCCCATTGAACAAATAGATAGAATGTCACAGAAATATAGCAATCTTAGAAGTGTTGCATAAGTCTTACTATCATGAAGATATCATCTATTATTTCAACACTTTTGTTTTTTGCACATAACAGTTCTTGCTATATGTTGATCTTTTCTTGGAGCATCTTCATATTTTCTTATTTGAAATTATGAAGGTATAGTATACATCTTACCAGCTTGTCTGTACAAGCTTTTTTTGGTACTAAATTATCCTTTTTAAACATGACTATTGAATACTTTATTCAGTTGACCCTAGCAACTTTGCACTTTCAAAAATTCCTCTCCTCATTACACTGTCACAGATTTTCTTTCAAGTTTCTTTCCTCAATAGTCTATTAACAAAATATATTTTAGTTGCTGTAATAATGATGACCAAAATTAAAATTGAAGTACTAATTCATAGTTTTATATTTATTGTACTTTGTTTGTTGTTATTGAGTTTATAATTATAATACTTTAATATCATGTAAATATATTATAAACTATATTATTATAATAAGTACTAATTTTTATAAGTTTCAATAAATATTAATGTACTTATTATCTTTTTAAAATGTTTACTATCATTATTTTAATTTTTCCAATCCTAAGTCAAATGCCCTAGTAGACCTCAAGGAGAATAATAAAGTCTTACTTAGAAAATGCAATCCTTAATATATCAGGTGTATATTCTAATATACCTCATTGTGCTCCATTATTTAATTTTTTATTTACTTTTTAAAATACTATTTTTAAATATGTTTTTAATTGATTTGAGAGAGAGAGAGAGAGAGAGAGAGAACATCAATGTGAGAGAGAAACTTTAATCAGTTGCCTCCCTTACACACCCTGACCGCAATTGAACAGCAACTTAGGTATGTACACTGATTGGGAATCAAACCAAGGACCTTTTAGTGCATGGGAGGATGCTCAACCAACTAAGCCCCACTGGCCAGGCCTGTACCCCATTATTTTAAACATATTATATTAAGATGCACTAGTCCTTCTGGCCAGTGGGGCTCAGTTGGTTGAGTATCGCCCCATGCAGCCACATGTTACTTGTTCAATTCCCAGTCAGGGCTGGGGTTATGGGCTGGGTTCCTGATAGGTGGTGTGCAGGAGGCAGTGAATCAATATTTTGCTCTCACATAGATGTTCCTCTTTTTCTCTCTCTCTAAAATTCAATTTAAAATCTTTAAAAACAATGCACTAGCCCTAACTGGTTTGGCTCAGTGGATAGAGCATTGGCCTGTAGACTGAAGGGTCCCAGGTTCGATTCCGGCCAAGGGCATGTACCTTGGTTGCGGGCACATCCCCAGTAGGGGGTGTGCAGGAGGCAGCTGATCGATGTTTTTCTCTCATCAATGTTTCTAACTCTCTATCCCTCTCCCTTCCTCTCTGTAAAAACTCAATAAAATATATATTTTAAAAACAATGCACTAATAAAATAGGGAAAACCTGATTTATGATATTGCTCTGTGGTACGTAAAAACTTAATGATTCAGCATTCCATTTGGTTTATTTTGGTGCAACATCCAGAATATGATGCAAAACATTGTACTATCAAAAATCTTCTAATGTCACGAAAAAGAGTAATGGGAATATAATTTGTGACTTTAGAATTAATGCATATTCAACTATGTACTTTAGTCTCTCCTCCTTTCCATATCATACTCTGCAGAATGATGATAAGTGACTGTGATGTTAAATGTGTCATCTATAGTCATTTCCTCTCATTTAATTATATTACTTGACATAAGTTAGACATACAGTTTGGCTATGTGCTCATCATGATGATGAATGATAATATTCTAATATAGTCTACCATGGCCATCAGAACTAATTTTATTTACAACCTTCACAACTCACCAGTCTCTCTGATTTCTAACTATATCATAGAGAGGGAAATCTATTGATCTTAATGTAATGAGTAAATAATTACATTATTGTGACAACAATAAAGTCCTGTTCACAAAAGAAAGAGAAATTTTGATAGAAAATGTAATTTAAAAGTAGGCAAGGCTTGCTCAGCCGGTGTGGCTCAGTGGTTGTCCGTAGGCCCATGCACCATGAGGTCACCAGTTTGATTCCTGGTCAGGACACATGCCTGGGTTGCGGGCTTGATCCCCGATAGGGGACATGCAAGAGGCAGCTGATTGATGATTCTCTCTCATCATTGAGGTTTCTCTCTCTCTCCCTCTTCTTATCCCTTCCTCTCTGAAATCAATTAAAAAAGAAACATATAAAAATTTAAAGTAGGCAAGGCTGAATATTTGTAAGCCTGCCTTGCTGCTTTTATCTTCTAAAAGACCTACCGATGTGCCTTGATGTTCCTCAGGAATTGAAAAGGGAAGCCTGCCAAGGACTGTCAAGTGGTTCGCAGGGACCAGACATACAAGGTTCTTAAGGTCCTTTGAACGCTGCTTATTGTTCACTCTGGCAATTTGAAGTAATTTGTGCCAGCCACTAATTTCTTGACTATTTTAATTTTGCTTTCCAACTTTTAATATCTGTTGCATTTTGAGCACAAAGGTTAATCAACAGCACTTGAAGGCACCCTAGAAAATTATGTGTCCCTAAAGGTACGTTATAGTCTGTGTGTGGAGGTCTGTAATAGTTAGTGGATTCCACATAGGGCTGTATTTTAACTTAAGTGAGAATAATAATTGGGTGATGACTCACCCAAATCTGGTTACATGTCTTTGGCAGCATTAGAAGATCTACATACAACCATTCAGCAGAGGGTAGCTGATTTTCTGATAAGACTTGGTAGTTAAATATGACAATTGGTTGGGCCAAACATAATCTAATCTACCTTTTATAACAGGGATCCCATGAAATTTCTGAGCCACAAATTAAAGTTTTCAGATATTCTGGACCTAGAAACTTGTAAATAATTTAACAAAAAAACAGTAAACGAAGCCATCTTTCCTTGATCAGTTTTTTTGCCTAATTTTAAAAAGTAAATGTAAAAGTGCTCTAAGAAGATTATCCACCAAACAAAATAACTAGCATAATTTTTCAGTATGTTTGAAAGAATTACATGCATTGAATATGAAGTTTATATGTGAAACTTTCAGGATTATTATTGTATTTCATTAATCTCAATGTAAATTTAGACCATCCTGGGCTACACTCTTCCTTCTAGAGGTGAGAGTTGGAGATTCATTCAGTATGGTAAATCAAGGATTCAAATATCACACACACACACACACACACACACACACACACACACACACACACAGTCTTCCAAAGTTCTAGTTAACTAGATACATTTGTAAGTGGAATAAGAGAGTTATGGGCCATGCATGTAACATGTATATATTATAGAATCTAATAGTACTGACTTTGTTACCAGGCAACCTTGCGTTCTGCCCACTTGCTACCAACTTGACTTTGAACAAAATATTTTGGCAGGATAAATTTTCACACACAGCCATAACACACACACACACACACACACACACACACACACACCCCTTTGTATACAAAGAATTCAACCTTTCTCTGTGGGTGAAGCCCCATAAAAAGGATAATTTCCACAATAATAATTCTTAAGACTATAGTCAGAAGAAGAGAAACAATTACTCCAGAACCAAAGCATTTAGAAATAAAGCCTGGCCACTATCTTATGGGATACTATTTAATGAAAGGAAATCTGAATTTTGTAGTTTTGCCTCACATGATCTAAGGATTTTTTCATCACATTTTTCTCTGATCCTCCTGTTTGACAGTGACATCTAACTAAAGTCACACCATTTAACCTTTTTTTTTTTTTCATGTTATGTGACCTGTGAGCAGAGTAAGAAACAGGACATTCCTCGGGAAGAGCAGGGACCAACCACCAAGAATTTGGATTTTTGGCCCCAACTTATTACCCTGATGGTCACTATTATTGATGAGGATAAAACTGCCTACACACCTGTCCTGAATCAGTAAGTACACTGTTTTACAAATGAATTGATTTTATTCAACTAAAGTTAAAATAAGTATTTGAAATACAGTTTATAATCTCATGACAATGACAGTGGTTCACAGAAGGAAATATCTTTGTTTTGCTTTCTATTGTTCTTTTTATTTTTTTTATTTTTAAAAATATATTTTATTGGTTTTTCACAGAGAGGAAGAGAGAGGGATAGAGAGTTAGAAACATTGATGAGAGAGAAAGATCCATCAGCTGCCTCCTGCACGCCCCCCACTGGGGATGTGCCCGCAACCAAGGTACATGCCCTTGACCAGAATCTAACCCGGGACCCTTCAGTCCACAGGCCAACACTCTATCCACTGAGCCAAACCGGTTCGGCTCTATTGTTCTTTTTAATGTCAGGTTTAGAGTTACATTTCTTTCTGTGAAACCTAGTCCTAAAAAACCAAATGTCTTTCCTCTAATTGGAATCTATGTTTTATACTGAAGAATGTCTATCACCCACTGAGTTTCCATGTGTCTTGCATAACCCATACCAGTTAACCACTGGTCTGCTTTCTGATACTATAAACTAGTTTAGAGATTTTATTCATTTTAGCAAAGGAATCATAAATTACATATATTATTTTGTCTGATTTTTTTCACCCATATTTTGAGATCCATTCAGATCATATTGTCAATACTTCGTCTTCTTTTATTTCTGAGTAATATTCCACTACATAGATATACCACAAAATGTGTGTCCATTCAAATATTAGGGTTAAGTTTAGGATTATTGACACCATTGTTTGTTTGTTTTTTAGATTAGGTTGCTTTGAATATTTGTTTGTAAGTTTTTGCATAGACACACTATTTCATTTCATGTTGTAGGTACATTTTTGATATTTCTTTAAACTGCCAACATGCTTTACAAAGTGGCTGTACATTGCCAACCCTTGGTATAATTGGACTTTAATTGTAGTTATTCAAATAGTGTACATTGGTAGCTCACTGTGGTTTTAATTTGTGCTTTTCTTTGTGTTTGTTTTTTGTATATGCTGTGATATAGAGTTTAAGATTCTTTGGGATTTTTTTCATATGTTTATCTAATATCTTAAACTCTGCTTGTTAGAAAAATTATCCTTCCCCCTTTGAATTACTTTGGCAATTTTGTAAAATAATCAATTTAAGTATATGTGTGTCTATTTCTATACTCGGTTCCATTGATCTATTGATTCGTACATTGGTAAAGTAGTGATAAATGTCTTCGGCTTTAGTTTGGAAAACTATCGCTCCCTCGATTACAAAAGAAAATTTTGCTAAATAGAATATTCTTGTTTGACAGGTATGTTTTTCAGAACTTTTAATATATCATCTCACTCCCCTCTTACCTGCAAAATTTTTGCTGAAAATCCACTGATAGCCTTTTGGGGATTTCCTTGTATGTAACAAGTTCTTTTTCTCTTGCTGTTTGTAAAAGCCTCTCTTTGTCTTTTATATATTCTTTGTTGAAATTCTCACTGTGTTCATGCATTGATTTCCTGACATCAGTGAGCATTTTTATGACCATTATTTCAAACTTCCTATCAGGCAAATCACTTACGTTCATTTCAATAAGATTGATTTCTGGTAATTTATCTTGTTCTTTTGTCTTAGGTATCCCCTTGCATCTTCACTTTTCTTGACTATGTGTCAGTTTCTGAACTTTAGATAAAATTGCCTATGAAGCATCCATCTTATATAAAAACTGCTGTTTGAAATTCTAACCCTGCTATTTTGGCTTCTGTAAACGTTTGCTTGCTTAAATAATAAGGAAAATAAGACTACTCCCATTCCAGAGAGGCCATTAACCTTCCCCAGATGAAGTTATCAGTGCTGGTGCCAGGCCAGGCCTTTGGTTGAGGTCTCAAAACCCCAGCACATAGGGCTCTTTAAGAACTTGCAAAGGGGACCGGAAAAAAACCCTTATTTGGGAGACAAAGAGCTGGAAAAAGTATAAATAGGAAAGGTTCCTCCATGTTTTTTGCCCAGAATTTGAAAGACATTTTTCTCTGGGCCCCCATGTAATAATAATAATAATAAAGTGTAACTCCATTTCTCTGGGCATTGCTTGGTTTTCTCCAGTCTTCTGTAACACCTAGACTTCACAGAGTGGTCTTCTCAATCAGTGCAGCCCGAGCTTGGGTTGTCTCTCAAACCTTTATGATAGTCCAAGCTTCTGTCTTTGTTCTTAGTGGCTCCCACAGCTGAGGGTGTACCCAGGCCTGTCACTGTCCCGAAGGGGAGGAGTGCAGCCAGCCCGGATGCAGGCTAATTAGAAGCCAGACCCTGGGGCAACAGCTGGGAAAGAATATAATTAAGCTCCTTCCAGGGAGAAACTGGAAGATGGGCACTTTTTCCTGCTCTGTTCTACACTGAGCCCAGGAATATAGCCACAGGGGTAGGAGGTGGGGAAGAGGATACACCTGCACCTATTGCAAAGCTGCTTATTTGTTTGCTCTAGTCCTGTGGGACTTGTGAATGCAAGCCCTATTAGTATCAGAGCTAGGTGATTTGAGGACCTGTCTCTCTGGTGGTAGCCAGAAAAGTTGGGGCACTCCCTTTTAGGAGATGCTGACATTGTAATTTTGTTGTTGGAACAAGCTAAAGGGAGAACACAGGACAAGTGCCCATCGGCATTCCTGTGCTCTGGGGAGGATCTCAGCCATCCCCTAGATCCATGGTCTGCAAACTGCGGCTCGCGAGCCACATGCGGCTCTTTGGCCCCTTGAGTGTGGCTCTTCCTAAGCCTTAGGAGTACCCTAATTAAGTTAATAACAATGTACCTACCTATATAGTTTAAGTTTAAAAAATTTGGCTCTCAAAAGAAATTTCAATCGTTGTACTGTTGATATTTGGCTCTGTTGACTAATGAGTTTGCCGACCACTGCCCTAGACCAGTGGTTCTCAACCTTCCTAATGCCGTGACTCTTTAATACAGTTCCTCATGTTGTGGTGACCCCCAACCATAAAATTACTTTTGTTGCTACTTCATAGCTGTAATTTGCTACTGTTATGAATCGTAATGTAAATATCTGGTATGCTGTATGTGTTTTCTGATGGTCGCGACCCACAGGTTGAGAACCCCTGTGCCTAGATGCATGTTAAATTAGAACCCAAGCCCCCAGGCATCAGCTTGTAAAGAATGCAGTCCAGTCCCTTCCAGGGAAAGACTGGGAGATGGACATTTTTGCCTATTCTTTCTGGATTGAGCCTCCAGGGGACAGTTGCAGGAAGTGCTCATGCACACATTGATAACAGCTTCTTTATTTGCTATGGTCCTATGAGTCTTATGTACACAAGCACTGAGTCCATCCCTCAGATGGGAGTCTTAAAAGTTGAGGTACTAAGTATGCAGTCCAAACCCTTCAGTACTTGGGGAAGCTGGAAGCTGGGGAATCCCTCCTAGCTATATGGCACTGTGTGGGGAGGGGGTTGCGGGGGAGGGATTAATAGCAAGACTGTGTCTCAGCCTTATGTCATTTTGTCGTGGGAATTTTCTCATTTACCTGATATGTAGGAGTCACTCAGCTAGTGTCTCAATTTTTCTCAGAGGAATTGCTCCATGTATAGTCATATGTTTAGTACATCCCTGGGTGAGGGAAGTTCAAGAGCTTCCTTTTCACCATTTTGGTTTTCCCAAACCTACTTGTTCTTAAGTTTTTGTAGTTTGTGCCTTTAAAAATTTTTTTTTATTTAATCTAAGTGGTCAAATTTACTATCATATGATTACTCAGGACATTTTTTATTATTCTTTTAATGTCTATAAAATCTGAATAATTTCCCCTTCCTCATCTTGTTACAGAATTTACCAGGGGACCGTTATATACACAGGAGTACTTGGAGACACAGGAAAAACCCATTTATTTTCAGATGTTTCGCATGTACTAGTACAATGACTCAAGGGAGACTGTTTCTCTCCAAATCCTGAGCAAACCAATATGGAGGAAGCTCTCCCTTTATACTTTTTGGTTTCTTTGTCCCCCAAATAAGGATCAGACTTCCAGACCTTTTGCGGGCTTTGCAAGAAGCCCCATGTGTTGGGATGGGGGTCGTGAGACCACACCTAAAGGTCTGGCCTGTCACCAGCACTGATAACCCCCTCTGAGGATTGTGTATTGTTCATGGTTTATGGCCTCTGTAAAATGGGAGTACTTAGATAAACAGGTCTTGTAAGACCAGATAATGGAGGAAGGGGCAGTGACTAGACCAGGGGTGGGCAAACTTTTTGACTCGAGGGCCACAATGGGTTCTTAAACTGGACCGGAGGGCCGGAACGAAAGCATGGATGGAGTGTTTGTGTGAACTAATATAAATTCAAAGTAAACATCATTACATAAAAGGGTACGGTCTTTTTTTTTTTTTAGTTTTATTCATTTCAAACGGGCCGGATCCGGCCCGCGGGCCGTAGTTTGCCCACGGCTGGACTAGACTGTAGGCTAACAGGAATGTGCATTACATTACTGGCACAGGTTCAGATTGCTATCCCCCCTCTCAAATGTCTTATTTTTCCCATCACTCCCCCCTCATTGATCCTCATTATTGATATTTTACATAGCCTCTCATTTTTCCTGTCCAACTGGCTAGACATTTATTAATCTTCTGAAAATGAAACATTTTGGCTAATTAAAACTCTATTGTTTTTGTTTTAAAGTAAACCAGTTTCTTTTCTCTTCTTTATTACTACTAGAGGCCCAGTACACAAAAATGTGTGCACTCAGGGAGGTCCCTATGCCCGGCCTGTGCCCTCTCATAGTCTGGGACCCCTTGGGGGATGTCCACCTGCTGGCTTAGGCTTGCTCCCCAGGGGATCAGGCCTAAGCTGGCAGTCAGACATCCCTCTGGCAGCC